ATCAAGGCCTCGTTTATTAGGAATTTTTACCCAACTTATATAGGGAGAAGGCAGGAAAAGGGGAAGGGCTAAATTACTGCTGCAGGAGATAGCAAGAGTGCTTTCATGGCTTGAATATTGCACCTGCAAGATACCATAAGGATGTTTTCTTAAGATATCTCACAGTTGCTCTAAAACTAACAGACAGATGTCCTCACAAATCTATCACCCATGAGTTAGGGTCCCAGATAACTCTTTCACTAAATAGCTTTAGATCTTCCACTAAATGACCTTTGCTCATTATTCGGATTTGGCTTCAGTACATAGCTTTGTCTCCACTAAATAGCTTTGGCTCACTATTTGGCTTTGGCTTCAGTAAATAGCTTTGGCTCCCGGCAAGAAAAAGATTAACTTGGAAAATTAATATAAAAGAAACACTTAGAAATCTTTCAAAAAGTAAAATGTAGATCCTCTTTCTCATAAGGTATTAAACTGTATGATGTATGTGCTTTGATGTTTGAGTTGTCAGTGTTTGTCTTAGGCCCATTGGTACTGTGTCACTAATGAATATCTCTGTAAATGTAAGAAATTATGTATCCATTAATGCATTATACTTCTCAAATAAAAATATCAGCACTAGTTGGCTCAAGCAAAAACATTTCTATGTTTTTTACCTATTGTGTGTGAATGTGTGTGCATAGCAAAACTAGACAAAGACTCAGAGCTTTTGCTTCAGTTAAATTTTTACCTGAGTTTGTGGAATGATGACAGTGCCAACAATGCAATCATGGACAGGAAAGGCCGCATGCTACCAGGCTGTCTCCATCCGAACGAAGCCAGACATTTATCAAGAAGACTGAGAGATACCTCTGGATTGATTTTGATATTCTATGATTCCTAAGAGCCAACTGGCTTCTCTACTCTCTCTAACTGAACATTAATAGATTGGCAAGTTTTCCAGTTCTTTTGTCTAAAGTAAGATGGTGAGAACATGGTGGATCATACTCCTTAGCACAGAGATTTTTTGAGTGAGTTTACAAGTTTCTGGTTGCTATAGAGACAACAGATTTCTCACTGTATTCATATGTTTTAGGCCTACCCATTTCTTTTACCTTTGCCCATATGGCAAGGCACTTTACTGCTTGGAATTATGTTTGCTGAAATCAAGAGATACAGAATCTGGGAGATGAAGGAGGTACTACTAAAGTAGAGCCCAGCTAACTGAGATGCCACTGACTGGAATCCCTGCTGGCCATAAGGCAGTCAGGTATAATTATCTCTGGCAGTTGTCTTAGCTCTAAGATTGAAGTGGACAGACAGTGAAAGGGAACAAAATATTAGAGTTTTACTTCAAACATGGGAGCAATAAATCAAAAAAATAAATAGAAACCAAAAAGTAGAAACCATAATATTCCCATTGGCAGTGGAATGCCAATCAAGAGAGATTGGGAGAGATATGGCTCTGAGCTCTAAGAGGCCCCCAAAGCCAATGAAGAACAGTCCTCAGTGAAGATCAGTTGCCTTAAGAAGCAGGTCTCAGAGGGCAGACATGTAGATAAGTCTCCTCCACAGGAGCCAGTTCTTCTGCTGTAGCTGCATGTTGAGTCTTAGTGGATGGAGCAGGAATGTGCTCCCAGCCTGAGTGGGAGCACCAAGTATGGGTTGGCCCATTTCTGGAAGGTCTTGAGAGTAGCATCAGTCCCACCTACCTTTCTTTCTAACAAGCAGGCTTATATGTGTGACTCTGAAGTTTTCAGTCTTCTTCTGATGTCAGGTAGCTTACGTAATAGGACAGCAGCCAGAAGCAGGAGCCAACTGAGAGGCAGACTGGGAAAACGAAGACTTACAGATGCTTATTGGCTGGGCTCCCGAAGTGGACCAATCAAGAGAAAGCCTGTCAAACCCAGAGAAGAGAAAGTCAATGGCTGCTAACAACAGGGGTGGTTGGAGTATCAGGACCCTTCTTGGATATAACCTAGAACCCCTACTCAGATGTATCCCATGGCAGCTCAATATCTAATAAGGGGGACAAGGAATATCTCTGACATGAACACACCGGCAGGCTCTTTGAACACCCCAAGCTTAGGAGGGAGCTGCCTTCCCAGGCAAGAGAGGAGGACAATGCAGCCAGTCTGGATGAGACTTGATAAACTAGGGTCAGATGCAAGGGAAGGAGGATGTCCCCTATCAGTGGATTTGGAGACGGGAATGGGAGGAGATGAGAGAGGGAGGATAGGATTGGGAGGGAATGAGGGGACCACAGCTGGGATGCAAAGTGAATAAACTGTATTTAATATAAAAAAACAAAAATTAATTTAAGAAAAAAACAGGGATGGTAGGGTGGTTTCAGTTAGAGCCACAGCTGTGTCCTCTCTGTTCCTTCCTTCTATGTGAAGAGGAAGGTGGGAGGGAGGGGTTAGGGAACTGTGCACCCATATTGTAGCTGAGGATTTGCCTGCATCCTGGTCTGGCTGCCAGGAGTTTGTTGCTCTTGTTGTCATTGATTTTGTTTACCTCCAGTTGCTGTTGGCTTCCTGGCCCTCCTCACATGAATGGAATTCTCTGAGAGACCCACAGGTGACAGGAAAACTCCCATGGAGAATCCTCCACTATCTGTTACCTCTTTTCTAGATCAAGGAGTATTTTAGACCAGGAAAGAGAATCTCTTAAAAGGTAGAATTTCCCACACTCTTCTGCAGTTCTGTGAGTCTACACAAGGATGAAAACACAGTGACCCTATAGGATCAGGGACCTCAGTGGCCACTTCAAATGTAAGGAGCCACAAGACTGGGAAACTTAGTGACTGTGATCACCCTGCTCTTTACTGCTCCCCAAGCTGGTTTCATCTGGAACTTGCTCACCTCCTTGCCCATTTCTCTTTGCACCCACTAAATCCATGTCCATCATACTCAGGACCTCACTCTCATCATATCCACCTTCCTCCATTCTCACTATGCAGTAAGCATCATTCTGCTCTCTAATTCTAGTTTTGAGAATTTTAAGATTCTCAAAAGTAAGATGGTTTGGTATAGTCTGGGTAATGATCTATGTTCATTGTGCTTTTGGTTTCTGATGAGAGCTTTCCAGCATCTAGGAAGCAAAGATTTAAAAAATATCACATGCAAGAACAGCCAGATTAAGAGGGTCTCAAATTACTGGCTGACAAACCTACCATAGACGGCTACCACAGTTAGCCCAATTGAGAGAATAATCAAAATGTAAAGGATCAAATGAGGAGGCAAAGAAACATAAAGAGAAAATCATGTGGAGACAACCTTTCAGGCAGTCACCTTGGGATCCAGTTCAGCTTTCAATGAATGAGCTTCTCTGTCATCTCATTCCCACTGCTGGTATTTTTACAGCTTGTAACACAGAAGTCCAATCTGTTGGAAATTTTTATGGACCTCCTAGCTGAACTCAGATGTACTAATTTTGCTCTTGGGCTGATCTGCTCTTATTTTACCCCCACCCTCACCGCTGCGTATAAGGAGTTGAAAGACCATCCTAGCCTCAAACACATAGTCATGTAAGACACTTTAAAATAAATATGCTTGATTCTGGAGTTTAGGAGAGACTTTCAAAACACTTAAGAGGTGTTCTGGTTAGATTTTTATTAGCCTGATCTAAGCTAGGGTCATCTGGGAAGAGGAAATTCTATTGAGAAAAATGTGTACATCAGATGGCCTGTGGGGCTTCTTGTTGATTAATGATTGAATTGGAGGGCACAGCCACTTTGGGTGTTGTCACCACTGGACAGGTTGTCCTGGTAGTAGAAGGCAAGAACATGAACATCACCATGGTATTCAACCCAGTAAAATATATTCTTCCATGGTCTCTGCTTCAATTCCTGTCCCTGGGTTACTTCTCTATGAAAGTTTCTGCCTCCAATTCCCTCAGTGATAGACTGTGATTGAAAAATGTAAATAAGCTGTCTTCCAGACTCCCACTGCCTTTTGGCCAGCATTTTCTCACAGCCATAGAGAGCAGATTAAGACAGGATTGTGGAGTATTGATGACAGAGGTAACCATTTGGTTTTGGGAAGGTGTGGAAACATTTGGAACCCTATGCTGAGAAGCCATTTGTTCTTAAAGCTTAATGGGCTGGTTTTCGGGGCATGGCAGAAAAGAATGCTGGTATCAATGCATGACAGGGAGGCTTGGATTGTGAAATGTGATAGAAACAAAGCCTCTCAGACCTACTTATTCTATATTATGAATTAAGAATCCATGGTTTCAGGCCAGCAGAAGCCTAAGAATCAGCTTTTATTAATAAGAGTGAAACCTTGCTTGCCTGGGAGAGCTGATTCAACTTGGCTTTGGCTGAGACATCCTCTATGATTAAGAAGACAAAAGCATCACAGAGCCAATTTTTCATTTTTTAATGGCCTCACAGAAAAGCTGTGTCCCAGTAGTGGCAAAGGCTTCAATTCATAGCATGGCAACCAAGCTTGATAATGTGTAAGAATTTCCCAGGTGGTACTGGTTTTGTCTGCCTAAAAGCTGAAGAGACAAAGGGGGTGTGGGGAACAGCCTAGGCTTGGCCAGGAGAGGCCACTGTCAAAGGTCAAGTGCACATCCCAGCATATTGGCCATGCCAGGAATGTGGGATGATAACCAAAATCAGTGATAGGTGTGGAAAGTGTCCAGCTAACCTGACAAGGTGTTTGAGTTGTAGACACCAGAGAAGCAGAGAGGAAGTGTGGACCAAGACCTTTGGATACCAGATCCTGAGAACTGTGTTGGCAACCCTGAGCCACAGAATCTAATTTATAGTGTGGGACTTTGGTTGTGATTTGATTTGATAGGATTATGACTATTTCCTGGGTTAGCCCTCTTTAAGTAAGAATGTACTGTACTTGGTTTTGATTTTATGGGAACCCATATTCCTCAGTATCTAGATACAACCCCCAAATGACTGCACTCCAAGAAACTATGAACTGGCTATACTCAGGAAGTATCTATATAGAAGCAGAGCTAAAAGCAAATATAACAATGCGCCTTACCCATCCTTGTTATTCCTGTCATTTCATGCTGTTCCCACACTTTTGTGGGCACACCTTCCTTGGAATTTTTTTGTGGGATGACATGCAGCAGCAGCAACACCTCCGGATGAATTCTCCAATCCTCTTTTTCCATGCCACCCATCCCCTGGGCTGCAGGGAGCTTGATGTTGAAGTCTCGATTTGCTCTGGGCCACTTAAGGCCTTTTCAGACAGGGAGCTGGTCGAGAAGCTTGAATGTTCATCCAAATGTATGTTTCTTGGTATATACCATTTTTGATCCTTTCTGCCTAGAGTGGGTGTCTTCTCTGGCAGAACATTTCTCTCCCTCCTTTGTTCTTGATGTTTTTCAGTGTATGATACTGATGCCTGAATTGGATGGTTTTGGGGGGATGACATGCAGCAGCAACAGCAGCACAGCCTCCGAATGCATTCTCCAATCCTCTTTTTCTGTGCCACAAATCTGCTGGGCTGCAGGGAGCTTGATGTTGATGTCCCACTTTCTTCTTGGTCACTTGAGGTCTTTTCAGACGGGTAGCTAGTTGAAAAGAGTGAATCTCCCATGTCCATCAGGGTATTTTTTGGTGTATATATATAGGGGGCTGTCATAGAACGTTTTAGATACCCTTTGCCCAGAGTAGGTGTCTTCTCTTGCACAACAAGGGCATTTGTCTCCCTCCATTGTGTTAGACGATGTTTTTCTGTGGCTGAGACTAATACCTGAAGGGAAGGTTCACTGGCCCTTTTCCTGAGGAACAAAGGGAAAGTGGCAGGATCTTCAGGGGTAGGGAAAGGCGTCAATCCTGGGTTCATTTTCTTTCTTTGGAGCTTTCTGCCATCATGCTGGCATGCCTGGTATCTCAGTAGGTGGTAGGCAGCCATGGTTTCATTGAACTTCCTGTGTTTTAAGGATTTTCTTATGTCCTGAGAGCCAAATCCAATGTTTTTCATGACTGCCATAATTTTAGGGTCTGGGTAGCTGGTGTCTCCAAATTCATGAATTGTGAGAGTGATTTTTGCTTGCTGAAGCCATGGGTGGCCCATGATGTCAAGTACAGTTGGCCTCTGCTTTGCATTTACTGCCAGTAGCAGGCTAATCATACTCCTTAAGTCTTTAGAAAGGTCACAGGGGATGTCATACCTCCCTTGCTGAACTTGTTTGCTAAGTTCTGACAAGGTAGCCGCTGTAAATGGGAGAATCCCTGTCACCATAAAATATAAAAGCACCCCCAAGGTCCAGATGTCGGCTTTGGGACCATCATATGGGAGACCCTGAAAGATTTCCGGAGGAATGAACTGGTAGACACCACACAGCCTTTCCAGCTTTTGCCCAGGCCTGAATCTGGCACCTAGACCAAAGTCAATAATTTTGACCCTTCCGTGCTCATCAATTACAATATTATCAGGCTTTAGGTCTCTGTGAACAATGCCCACATCATGGCAGTAGCCTATGGCACTGAGCAGCTGAACAAATATGTTTCTAGCTTCATCTTCCTTCAGGCATCCAGACTCCCAGATCTTATTCAATAATTGTTCTCCCTGGACCACCTCCATAATTAAGTAAATGTTCTTTTCTGTTTCTATTACTTGCAGGAGGGAAACAATATTAGGGTGGTTGAGGATCTTCATGATGTCGACTTCAGACACTGTCGGCTCACACCACTTCTTCTGCTTCACCAGAGCTTTCACAGCCACTGGGGCACCTGTAAGGCGATGGTGGGCCAGCATGACCTTGGCAGTGCCACCCTGACCCAAGGTCTTCAGGATGGTGTACTGCCTGGTGAACACCTCTTCCTCAAAGACGCCGAACACAGTGCTGGGCTCTGATGACTCCTCCTCACTGTCCATGCTTGGTAGCAAGGCTACTGCCAAAGAAAACAGGGGTTAGGGTGGGATGGGGGAAATGGAAAGGAGATACAAAGGAACATACAGAAACATAAGGCATGAAAGTAACAAAGTCAGGGGGAATGAAAGTGAAAACAAAGCACAAATTGAAAACCCCATGAAAAATAGCTTTAAACCACAGTATCAAAGACACAGTCAGAAAAAAACCAAATTGACACCCAAACAAAGACATAACTCATAATCTACAGAAGTAGAAAGACCACAGCTCAGGAATTTTCAGGTGCTACTTGATAAAACTGAGAAAGGAACTAGGGAGTAGGAAAAGAAATGAATGGATCAAGAAAGAAAAGGCTGAAAGTAAATGTAAAAGATAAACCCAAATTTTAAACCAAAACTCCAAACAAGACCAACTGACTAAAATACCATTCAAGGAAGTCCAAGCAAAACTAGGACACCTCAAGAAATCAAAACAAAACTAGAAGCACACAGAAATTCAGTAAGTAAATTAATGCAACAAGCACAAGTTAAAAGCATGTCTAACAAAATTAATTAGAAAACCAGAACTTTCTTGAAGCCAAAATGTTATCAACTCTACAGGTCAAGAACACTACTAAAGGTCAATATTTTTTAAAAAGTAAATAATTAAAGAAAAGTACAATGAAAAAAAAGAGAAAAAACTTAAAAAAAATAAAATTTATATAATCCGGGTCACATTAAAGTTTTAAAGAGCCCCAAAACACATCCAAGAAAAGTAAACCCAGAAATAAAATAAGAATATAAAAAGAAAAAACAAATAAATAATTTATACTAGTAAGGAAAGTGTCCAGGAGCTAAATGACACCTCATTCAGTAAAGAACCTGCCTTGCAAGCATGAGGTCTTAAGTGAAATGCCAAACGCCACTGCTCACCAAAGAAATAAAAAGACAAAACAAGCCTAGAATCACTAGTTTCAATCTCAGCACATAGGTACCATAGCCTGATCCCAAGGCTCCTTGGCCAACAAGCCTAGCCTATGTGGCAAGATACAGGCAAGTTAATGACTGCTTTGGAAATGAAGGTTATAAACATACCTTAGCAAGGCACTGAAGGTTGAGCAGTGACCTTCACCTACACAAGTTTGCAGAAGAATTAACACTCTCACACACACAGACACAAGCAGATATATACAGTCACAGCAAACACTCATACCCTACTCACAGCCTCTCTCTGTCTCTCTCTCTCTCTCTCTCTGTCACACACATACACACACTACACACCAACCATCCAACCAACAAACCAACCAAACAAGCACTCAAAACCTCACACAATCTCACTGGAAATAAGTAAACTGCACGGGCCAAAACTCCACACCACCTCTCTATACCTACAGAAACCCAGGACAGGCCACACCATTATATCTGCTGGGTGGACTCTCTCACAGTTGCTCCTTATGAGGTCATTATAGGACATGCACAGATCATGGCTGTGCAAAACTCACTGGACCTGAAAGGACTTGAAAGCTTCTGGCTCAGATGGGCTGTGCAGAGCAGTATTTAGGCTCTTAGAAAGTAAAGCTGGACACTGTGTGCCTAGAGTACTGTCTGCATGTACTGCTAGGTATGAGAAATACTGAATGCCCCACCACCCCTACCACTGTAGGGACACAAGAAGATTCCTAGCAGTGTAGAGGAGCCAACCGTTGGAGGCCACTTGGATATTGAACTGCCAGAGGATACCTCTGTGCAGGGGTTCCAGACCATATCCATGAGTGGTCCTTGGCTGGATTATCAGTCTCAGAAAAGACCCCTGTGCCCAGACATTTGGATCTGTTGTTCTCCTTGTAGAGCTCCTGTCCCCTCCAGGTCTTACTATCTCCCACTTCTTTTATAAGATTCCCTTGCACTCTGCCCAAAGTTTGGCCATGAGTCTCAGCATCTGCCTCAATACCCTGCAGGATAGAACTTTTCAGAGTAGCTCTGTGGTAGGCTCCTGTCCTGTTCCCTGTTTTCTCCCTTCTCCAATGTCCATCCCCTTTATCTTTCTGAATGGGGATTGAGCTTCTTTTATTTTGCAAGGTTACTTTTTAAGATAAATAATAAAATAATTGACTCATTCTTTGCAACTGAAAATTGCAGCCTGCCAGTAAGAGAAACTGGATCTTGCTTGCTTACAGTTTGTTAATCTCTAATCTCTAACAAGTTGCTTAGTTATGAATGTTTGCAGGTTCTTAAGAATAATTTGCTTTTCAATCTTAATATGTAAAATATTTGATCATTTGAAGGTATTGGGGAACATGTTTTTTTCTCCATATATGCATTGGAATCATTCACTTAAAAATAGAAAACCACATTGTGATTTTTGTACTGGTTAAATGATTTTGCTGGGATAAATAAACTGTCAGGAAAAAGAGTTGTTGGAGCTTGCTCATGGAGTTTTGTTCCATTTACCCAGTGTGTATATTTGTTTATATGTATAGATTTAAAGTTGGTTGGAGCTTTGCTGCACTCATCAAATGTATGTATGTATGAATATATGTAGGTATGTATGTATGTGTGTTTATCTGTGTTTCTATGTATTTGTGTATGTGTGAATTAGTTTGAGCTTTGAAGCCTGCTTCATATACCAAGTGTGTGTGTGTGTGTGTGTGTGTGTGTGTTTGTGTATGATCTTCCCATTTTTTTTTACTTTTGATAGCCCCAGTGAATCAAATGAGCTTTTTTCCCAGCCACAGGGAGTACTTTACCCGCCCCAGCAAATCAAGCTTCATTACCTCAAAGAAAAATCTGCCTCAATTTACACTGACCTGTTGAAGCTGGCCTTTGACAGGGATCATCATCATGGCCTGTAAGTTCACACTGCCATCTGGGAAGCCATAGAATAGATGGTGAATCTAACAAAAGCCTGATGCACTGTGGGATAGTTCATGAGGGAAGGAGGGGATTCCTAAATGGGCTGATAGCTAGAAGTTTATGAGGGGTGGGGACTGGGTGTCACCTTACAAGATCTGATACCTAGTCAAGTTTGAGGCAATGCAGGGAGCGGGTGAATAGTCACTAATGCTGGCACTGTATGAGGGGCATTGCTACTTCAGATTCACTGCTAGATTTCAGGCCCTGTTGGACTTGCCACTACTCTATATACACTAGGAGTCAGATCTTCTGGCTAAACCGTCTCTCAACTGCAGCTCCACATAAGAGGAGTGTCAGATATTACTGCGGATCCCTTTATTACTTAAACCAACTTACATTCACTTCTAATTATCAGGCCCTGCTTGACACAATTTTCCTGGGCAGTAACTCCATGTTTCAGAACTTACTCTCCATGTCCTCACCCCTGATGCTGAATCCCCACATAAACTGATGACTGGAAGTATTGGGGAGCACTGTCAGCTGGGTAGTACCCAGGGTCTGGTAGCTATCAGTGTATATGGAATTTTGCTGGGGACTATGAAGCATGGCACGGCCTGAAACCGAGTAGTATGTAGAACACCAGTGGAGTTTGCCTTAAAGCAGTGGGCTAAGATAGGAGGAACACAGACCACAGAAACTGCACATGCAAGCTGGATAGGATTGCCTCTTTGAGCTTCTGCCTGTGAGCTGTTGTATGTCCTCAGCATTCTTCATATCTGCTGTTTGACGACAAAACCTATGATACAGAAGTAAGTTTGAGCCACTGCTGACAATCATCTACTGTTGACAATCTATTACTTTTAATGTAGTTGCGATAACAATCAGATTTCTCACCCAAGTAGGGTATTATAATTAAAAATAAAATGTTCAGGCGGCGGGGCAAGATGGCAGCGCCGGGAGGACTCTCATTCTGAGGAGCAGCACAGCAGGATTGGCACAGTGACCAGCAATCAGAACTCGCGGCCATAAAACACAAGTGATTGGGTTTCTCAGGTGAGAGGATACCCCACGGTGGGGGATTCGATCAGCTTTAACTCACCCGGCTAAACCGCGGAAGAGATTCCCGTTCCGCCAGGCGCTTGGTCGCCAGCCCAGAGCTACCCGCCAGCGCGATCTGGTCACTGTCCCAGACTGAACTGTGGGCCCACAACACCATAGACTGGATTTCCCAGTCGAGAGATAACCCCACGGAGCAGGAAACAATTGGGACCGACCCCAGGTTACCCAGACATCCCCTGGAAAAGACTCGGGTTCCGCGGGTGCCCCAGGAGCCAGCCCGGACCCTGAGCCGGGAGAGACAAAGGCGCCTGCACAGAGCCCTGCCTGCGTGCGTGATTCGCCGCCTCAGATAGAACTGTGGGCACCAGGGCAACAGGGCACCAGACTGCGTGTCTCTGGCAGGAGGAAACCCCCAGCGGAGGGGGTCAGCAGCTCTAACGCTTAGGACACCCAGCACCAAAACACTTCCTGGACTCACGCAGACTCTAGTGCAGGCAGAAGCGCTGTGCTCTGCCGCCATTGTTGCTTTCCCCTGGGGCACTGGGACACACAGCTGCATCCTCGGACCTGCAGGAGCCGAAGAGCCATTACAGCAGCCCTCAGATACTGTGCCAGGGATCGGCCAGTTGTCCCTGGCTGGACTGCCAAAACTGTAAGAATCCCTGATCTTTCAGGGGGGCTGCACCCACAGCGTCTGGACCAGAGTGGTGCCTACAGCCGCCATCCCAGACAGAGACACACAGCTTCTGGTCCAAAGTGAGGCATCCAGCCTCCAGACCAGAGCAGTGCCCCCAGGCGCCAACTCAACCTAGGTGCACATTCTCCAGGTCCAGAGCAGAGCAATCAGCCTTTGGCCCAGAGACTTGCTGAGTGCACCTCCCACTTTCTCAGACAGAACTGTGCGCCCCAGGATAACAGACTGAGTTTCCCTGTTGGGAGAAAACCCCATAGCTAGGGAATCAGCAGTTTCTTCAAGAGGACTGTACATGGAAATTTAGTGAGCAGCAGCACACTAAATTTATAACAAGAAACCCAGCAGTAGGGCAGCTGTCTTGAGAAATTTTATGGGTAAGAGGAGATCCCCCCCTGCCTAACATAGACCACAGCTACTACTC